GTCTGGCCCACAAACCCCATCACGGGTTGAATGAATCCATATATTCATGAATAAAGGGCAAAGGGTTAACTAATGGGAGATACATACATTACTGGATGTGGGAGTTTGCTGTGTGACCTTGGACAAGCTGGGTGACCTCCTGGGCCTCAGTTTCCCTGGCTGGGCAGTGAGAGGGGCTGGGCTCAGAGACCTCTGGTCCTGCCCATCTGGGGTCGGGAGGAAAGGGTGGACGGGGGCAGCCCAGAGCCCTGGCAGTTCTGGGAGTTTCCCAGAGGACAGCAGAGCACCTCCAGAAAGATAAATAAACAAAGACCTCTCCTTATAGACCCACAATAGCATCATCACCTAACAAACGGAATGATCATTCATTCCTTAACCTCCGCTCAGACCCAGCCCAGATTTAAGTCCTCCCCCCTCCCAGTGGCCTTAAAAATGGCCTCTGACCGTTGGCTTAGGACCTTGCATCGGTGCCAAGCACCCAGGCGAATCTGACACCTGAGAAGTTGGCAGTTAGCTCTCGCGGGTGACTTCAGACCAGCTGATTGCAAGCAAGCCCAGGCCTGCAGGGGCGTGGAGCTGTGACACTGTGGGCTGCTCACCGGAGCGAGCGCACGCCTCCCCAAGCACCAGGCTCCCTGCGCAGCCTCTTCGGAGTGGCATTCGTGGGGCCAGCACTGGGGAAGACAGGAAGCGGGGAGGAGGGTGGACATCCTGCTTGGACTGGTCCCCGGGGCTCTCCGCACTGGGCTTCCCACTGTCGCCCACCTGCCTCTCTAAAAATGGATCGTGGGGCTTTGGAGTCAGACGCGGTTTCCGTCATGTCCTTGTCATCTGGGGGGAGTCGTAGGGCAGACACCCACCTCCCTGGACCTCTGTCTCCTCTTTTGTCAAAAGGAGTCTGAAAAGGTGACCGCGGGATGGCTGGGTGTCTCAGTCAGTTAAGCATCCGACTCTTGGTTTCACTCAGGTCATGATCTCAGAGTCGGGAGATCGAGCCCTGCATTGGGCTCCTGCTCAGCGTGGAGTCTGCTTGTCCCTCTCCCTCTGTTCCTCCCCCTGCTTGCTCTCTAGCTCACTCGCTCTCCCAAATAAATGGTAAATAAAACCTTAAAAAAAAAAAAAAGGTGACCAGCTGGCTCCACTCTTTGTAAGTAAAACACCAAATAAAACCATGAGACGCCATCCACCTACCACACCAGCAAAAACCAAAAAGCTTACAGCAGTGGTTGCAGGCATGCATGAAGGGAAACAGCACTCCAGGGAGGGACAGGGCGGGTGGAAATGGAGCCTAGCGCCACCTTCTGGACTGTGATGAAGTGGATTCTCTCCATTGTAAAAAACACTCGGAGCCCTGGGGGTGGGAGATGGGGGGTTCCAGGCAAAACCCAAGAAGCCACAAGTGGGTGATCGATTATCGGACCTGGTGTCCATAATAGAAAGATAAAAGTCAAAACTATTCAGCAATAACCAGGAATGAAACACTGACACACACGACCCCACGGATGAACCTGAAACCATCACGTGGAGTAAAAGCTGCCAGCCACCAGGGCTGCCGTACTGTATGATCCCATTTACATGAAAGGGCCAAGATGGGCAAATCCACAGGGACAGGAAGCTGACTACCAGTTGCCAACGGCTGGCGGTGGAAACAGGCAGCTGACCGATGCCAAAAGGGTGCAAGCTATCCTCTTGGGCCACTGAAAGGGTTCTAGACTTGCCTTGGGGGATGGGCAGCCTGACTCTGTGAACAGACTGAAAGCCCCTGCCTTGTACACTGTCACCAGGTGAGTGTTAGAGTATGCGAATTTGAGCTCAATCCCGCTGTCACACTTTCCTTAAAGCTGGATTAAAAACAAAAAGTGCACCTTCTCCTTAGACCCAGCATTTCGCTTCTAAGAATTGATCCTACTGTTCTTTTGACACATGAGCACAGAGAGCTCCTTACAAGGATATTCTTGGCAGCTCTTTTTTTGGCGGGGGGAGGTTCATTCTAATAGCAATGGGTGCAAACACCCTAAAGGTCTGTCTACAAGGGACAGAGGCTGGTTAAAAGAATCATAGGCCATTTAAACAATGAAATCTTATGCAGCCCCCCCCCACACACACACACTAAAGTCTACATACAAAACCAGAATTATCGCTAAAATATACTGTGTGCTGAGAAACGCGGGGCACAACGCACGCCAGCAAAGGGGTGGAGTCCTTAACCCCCACACCGCCCCCTGATGTGCCACGTGATTTTCAACTGTTCGTTGCTGTATCTGAGATGGTCCTGGGAAGAAGGTCAGGGAAATGAGGGTCACTTACAGCAACGGCAGGGGACCTTTTTTTGTTTTTTGTTTTTTGTTTTACGTAGGCTCTACGTCCAGTGTGGAGCCCAACCCGGGGCTTAAACTCACAACCCTGAGATCAAGACCTGAGCCAAAACCAAGAGTTGGCCGCTTTACCCACTGAGCCACCCAGGCGCCCCTGCAGGGGACCTTTTAAATTCAGTAGAAAAATATCTTACCATTTTTATTACCGGTATGGCTGGACATCAGCCCTGGGACCACGGAATGCCTTGTTTTATAGAAAAATAACATGGGGATGCCTAGGGGCTCATTCGGTTAAGTGTATGCCTTTGGCTCAGGATCAAGCCCCGTGTGGTGTCCGGCCCCCTGCTCGGCGGGGAGCCTGCTTCTCCCTCCCCGTCTGCCACTCCCCTTCTTGTGTTCTCTCTCTCTGACAAAGAAAGAAGAAAGGGAGGGAGGGAGGGAGGGAGGGAGGGAGGAAGGAAGGAAGGAAGGAAGGAAGCACGCTAGGGAGGAAGGAAAGAAAGAAAGAAGAAAAAATAATGTGTGTCCTTTCCTAAATGTCTAAAATATTTCTGAAAGGATGTGCGGGAAGCCGGGGGAAAGTAGGGCTTGGGGCCCTGCAGGAGACCTGGTTTCCACACTATGACCTTTGGCACATCCAGATTATGTCACCACACACATATGTCACTTCCAAAGTTTTGTCTCAGAACTGCAAAAATCGGAGCTGCTGCCCACGCCCACCAAGCAGCGGGGCGGCCCTTGGTAGGGTTACTTGAGGTGACCTGTGTCAAGAGGCCAGGCCCCCACTGTGGCCGCCATCTGGATTTGTTTGTCAGTTGCCCCAGGAGGAGAGCAGATACTCACCAGGCAGAGGAAGTTTCGCAACCGCGTTTAGGAAATCCAGCAGGGGAGGCCTGGGACCCTGTGTCAATATGCCAAGAAGGCTGGCCTCTGTCTGCAGCCTGGGGAGATGGCCAAGCTGGCGCTTGCTCGGGTTCCAGCCCTCCCAATTGGCCCTAGAGCCAACAATAGCTCCCAGGGCCTCCCGCAGTGCCAGAGACCAGAGGATTTCTCCACGGGACTCCAAGTTCATCCAAACGATGAACAGTCAGGCGGTTGCAAAAAGACGGGTCCACCTACACGTACTTGTTATGGGTCGAATCATACCCTCTCCCCCCAAAACAGGTATGTTGACGTCCTAACCCCCAAGCCCTCTCAGAGTGTGGCCTTCTTTGGGTATTGGGTCATTGCAGATGGAATTCTTTAAGTCAAGACGAGATCACAGTGGAGTAGGGTGGCCCCTAACCCCACGCGACGGGTGGCTTTATAGAAGCGGGGGCGGGGGGTGCGGTTTGAACACACAGATGCGCCCACGGGGAGAAGCCCCATGAAGATGACGACAGAGCTCGTGTGATGCTTCGCCATGCCAAGGACCACTGAAGTTTGCCAGGAAACTATGAGAATCTGGGAGCAAGGCAGGGGACAGACAGATTCTCCCAGGACAGAGCAACCCTGCCGACACCTGGAGTTCAGCATTCTGGCCTCCAGAACTGGGAGACGGTCCATTTCTGCTGCTGAAGGCACTCAGCCTGTGGTGCTTTGTTACAGCGGCCCGAGCAAACAAATACAGGACTGCCGCTGAACTACTGTCAAAACATACGATCTGGTGACAACCAGTGGGGGGCAAAGCATCGCCACCCGGGGACTATTTCGTTCCAGTTCCGCCCGGGGCAGACCAACAAGGGCCACAGTCAGGGTCTTCCCTGCATCTTTACTTCAGCTTCCTCCGGGCCTCCGACGCGTCCTCCATACAGCTCAGAGGGGCCTCTGCCCTGCTCCCAGCTCTCCCACGGCTCCCCAGTGCCCCCAGAACAAAGCCGCAGCCCCTCAGTCTGGTGTCTGAGGCCCAGCCTGCCTCGGCAGGTCCATCTCCCCACCCCTCGGTCACACACTAGACCGAATCCACTCTAGAAGCTTTAATTCCTCAAACACGCCATGCCTTTCTGCCCCAGGGCCTTTGCACAGGCTGTCCCCCTGGCCTAGAAGGCTCTTCTCTCTCTCTGAAAATTAGCAAGGGAAACCTCACAAAAGCAGATGCGGGAGGCTAGAAGGGGAGGCTGGAAGGGGGAGCCACACTACCCAACGTTAAGTACAGACACCAGCAGAAGAATCCTCAACAGGAAAGAATCCTCAGTGACAGGCCCGAACAGGGAAAGATGTACATTGCATCTCCTACAAGAAATTGGCCGCCCCAGCAGCTCAGCCAGAGAAACCGCCAACACCCTCAACTCTTGCTTTTCTCCAGAGGACTTTCGTTCAAAACAACGTCTTCTGACTTCCTTCTCATCTCCGTTAAGATAAAATTCCTATCCCTTGCTGGATTCCTGTTGTAGCTTGCTTGTCCCAAATTACAATTCTCCACTATTCCTGAATAAATCCATTTTGCTGGTAAAATAACCCACTGTTTTATTTTGGGGGGGTAACAACCTGCTAGCACCAATACTCACCCTCTCGGCTCCTCAGGCCTTGGCTCAGAGGTCACCCTCTCTGGGTCCCCTTCCCGATCCCCTCCTTAAAGCTGTACCTCCTCCCTCCTCCAATCCCTGTATCTTTTTCCCAACCAGAGAGGACTGCATGTCCAGGTCCCCCCACCTGCCCGCGCGCTGCCCCAGCCCCACCCTTCACGGGGGCTCAGGGCTCACTCACAGGTGATTTCGTCTGGGGTGAATCCCAGGACCTTCAGGGACTCCAGTGTCTCGTGGAAGAGCTCCCGCTCCTGGCTGGGAGATGAAGATGGCCCGTTGGTCAGGAAGCGGTAGTGGGAGCAAGGCTCCAGAAGGAGGTCAGCTGCAGGGGGTAATGAGTGGACGCCAAGGTCAAGGGTGAGCTGTGGAGTCAGACTCACGTCCCCACGGCCACCCCGGGGGCAAGTGTTCACTTCCCCCCACTGGGGACCTCGGTCTCTTCCTCTGTCAAATGAGTGAGGATCCTCTCCTCGCAGTTTGATGGGAAGGGCCGGGCGTGGAGGGGGTTGCTTAGCTCTACTTCGGACCCTTTTGTCGTCCCTCCTTCCATAGGGATTGTCAAGTCCTAGAACTGCCCAGAGCAGGCAGCAGCTGCAGAAGCAAAGGGGCCGCGGGTGCCTGAACTGGCAGAAGCTGTGGGACAGCAGGGCTGGCGGCAGAAGGCATGGGGGTCCCAGAGCCTGGGTAAGGAGGGGCCGGGGGGCAGCCAAGGCTATAGGGTAAGGAGCCTCGGGACAGCAGGGGCCCCGTAAAGGAGAGCCCTGGACTCTTCAGCCAGAGGGCGGCAGGACCACGAGGCAGCAGGGGCTGCGGCAGAGCTGGAGTTGTGGTGTCACCCGTGCGGGGCAGGCAGAGGCCCTGCGGTTTCAGAAGAGAAGCAGCCTGAGTGGCAGCCTGGGAACCAAGCAGCCAGGGTGGGCAAGACCCACGAGGAAGCTGGGACCAGACAGCAGCAGGGCCGGCCAGCAGCATGGGCTGGAGCGGACGCCGAGGGGCCAGGGGCGGCGGGATTCTCTCCTCGGCCAAAGTCACGGTGTCTGAGGCCCAGCCTGCCTCGGCAGGTCCATCTCCCCACCCCTCGGTCACACACTAGACCGAATCCACTCTAGAAGCTTTAATTCCTCAAA